CCACAGACCAGCACCTAGACCTCCAGATGCCCTCTCTGAGCTATAACCATGGAGAAACCTCCACTTTCAGTGGCTTCCAACAACTAAGTTTGTTTTCGTTCACTCCGTGTGTCCACGGCAGGTCGAGGGTGCTGCTCCCTGCGATCCCCCACCCCCCGGGTCAACGTCCAGAACATGGCAGTGCCAGAGACAGGGAGGGCTCTGGAGAGTCTTGCACTGCCAGTTAAATGCTCCGGCCTGACAGTAGCACCAGCACCTCTGCCCACCCCCACTGGTCAGGACCAGTCCCACGGCCCCACCCAACCACAGGAGACCAGGAGGAGTGGCCCTGCCCTGGTCGGGATCAGGTGTCCAGCTGCACTCGTGCTGAACACCCTCAGTGACTGCCCACCCATAGGCCCCCAGGGCAGGTCCTTCCTGTGCCCCCACCCATGCCAGGGAGGACCCATGGAACCTCACCCGGGAGCCAGCCGAGACAGAGAGCTGAGCCTCACCTCTGAATTGAGACAGAAGTCTGCTCGGGAAGGGGCGGTGGAAAGGAACACTCAGCTGGGGAGATGGGACGCACAGGGTCCCACATCTGGTCTGGGCTCCCCTCTGAGGAGTTGTGCCACCTGCTTTCAGTTGTGCATCCCCTTTCTTGCCCTCCCGCGTGTTCACGGACGTAGGTATTGTAGGCATTAATCAGAAGGTGTTGAATAAGGAAGCACCCAACATGCACCAGCCCGCTGCTCGGAAGCCCGAGTCGCCATGCTCCAGCTCCGGCAGGGCCGCTCTCGCTGGCAGGGGCGGGGACGGGGGGGAGAGGACGCAGGCATTTTGCTGCATCAACCCACGGTTTGTCCGACTTCATCCCAAAACTTCCTCAAATATGTTTTGCCTCAGGCAGCAGCAGACAAAACAGAATCTTAATGCCTCTGGCCAAAGACTGTTACTGAATGTATGAGATAAGACTCGCACACAAGGTGATCTTCCCAATAAGTGATAGGTTTGAAAGTAGAACAGCCGGTTATACGGAGCTTTACTTAAGAAAGAGAAATCCCATGGGAGACTGGAGAGATGTGTCAGTCAGAGTCCCAGAGGAAGCACTCAAAGGGGAACCTGTCCCGGGCTGCTGCCGACACGGGCGGGCGTAGGGACGCCGCGCAGGCTAGGGAAGTGCCGGGGCCTTCGCAGAAGCCGAGGCGCAGCCTCCGGGGGCTGGGGGACGAGGGTGTGGGGGGCATCCGCCAGCACCCGTCCACGGAGGGAGCTGCCTTGATTTGAGCAGTGACCCCCACGCTCCCAGCAGCCCCAGGTGACAGTGCAGAGAGGCAGCTGGGGACCAGCGCCCTGCCTGACACCCGCCCTTCTGTCGCGGCAGGTCACGGCACTCACTCCAGGAGGCAGGTCTCAGGCCAGTCGGGAGGCTGCAGGCAGCAGACTTCTCAGTTTCGATTCCAGGTGAAGGAAAGTTTCTAAGATTCGAGCTGTTCCCAGACAGAGTGGGCAGGGTTTGGGGAGACGGCTGGGCTCTCCGCAAGGATTCTAGAGAAGGGATTCTTGCTGTGCACGCACACAGACCAGGTCACTTTTGGCTTTTTCCCTCTTCAATGTTCACCCTGTATCCCCAGCCGGAAAACCATTATTCAGTTTGGTGTGTGTCCTTCCAAAACTTTCTGGTAATTTCAACTCTGTTTTTTTGTGTTTTTTTTTTGCTTTTTGGTGTGTGTGTGTGTGTAACTGTAGAGGCAGTATACGTAAGTGGCTAAGAGCACAGACTCTGCAGCCAGACTGCCTGGGTTCAAATCCTGATCATTACTAGCTTTCTGACCTTAGACCTCACGCTAGTGCCTCAGGGTCCTTGTTTGTAAAACGAGATATTAATAACTGCTTCATAGGATCATTGTAAGGACAAATGATACACTTGTTAACTACTTAATAGCCCCTGTGACATAGTCGGCCCTACACAAGTGTTTGCTAGTAACATTAATTATATGCAAAATTTTCAGACCAATATAGTGCCATTCAATAAAGTGCTGTGTCAAATATTATCTTGTCTCCATTATTTATTTGTTTGTTTGCTTGTTTTGTTTTGAGAAAAGGTCTCACTCTATTGCCTGGGCTAGAGTGTAGTGGCACCATCACAGCTCACTGAAACCTCAAACTCCTGGGGTCAAGTGATTATCCTGCCTCAGCCTCCCAAGTAGCTGGGATTTTAGGTGTGAGCCACCAAACCAAGCTACTGTTTCTATTTTGTGTAGAGATGGGGTCTCACTCTTGCTCAGGGTGTCTCAAACTCGTGGCCTCAAGCAATCCTCCCACCTCGGCCTCCCCACCATACTCGGCTTGTCTCTATTTTTAAATCAATATGCACATGCACACAAAATAATAAACAAACTATGCCAACTCTTGCAGCCACAAGGGCAGGCTAACTCATGCAAGTCAGCATGCACCCAGGCTGCCAGCTCTCTAGTTCTGCAAATGGTAATCCAATTTTTGTCCTGCTAGGACACCCTGTTACTCCATTTAGCTACAGCCAGCCTCCTTCCCCTCAGGAGGCTGAGGCAGAGCCTGCCAACCTGTGCACACCCTGCTAATGAGGGGTAAAAGCCAGGCCGGGCCACGTGCTCCCTGTGTACATGCCTACCCATGCAGCCAGCACACACGACCTGGGCCAGGCTGGCCACTGTGCTGAGGGCTGCAGAGCCCTTGCGCAGTGGAGGAGGGACCCATCCCAGACGGGAAACTAGGGTCCAGCTGCCAGGTCCGTGCCCTGGTCTTCCCTAGCTCGTGACCTCTCTGGACACCCCTGTGACTCCTGGGGCTGGGTTTCCTCCCCCTTGGCCTGTTGTCCTGTTCACCTGCTTCAGGTCCTGACCCTCAGACACTCCAACCCAGAACCCTCCACTTCTGCCCTGACCCCCAGGACGAGGCCTGCAGAGCCAGCTGTGCAAGGGGCTCCTCGTCCGGAGAGCGATGGTGGGAAGTTAGCTATACTGATCCTCAGTGGCTCTGTCTGTGAAATGGGGCACATCCACACTGCAGTCATCACCACAAAGATAGCTGCCCTTCCCAACGTACCCGCACAGAGCCGACAGATGACACATGTTCATTGTTCCCATGTCACAGGTGAGGAAAGAAAGGCTTTAGGTCGGGCTAGTTCCCCCGGGCCAGTAAATGGCAAAACTAGGGTTCTGATCCAATCTGCTGGGCTGCAAAGCCTGCACTCTCCCTCCTGCGTGGCACTGCCCCTCGGGGCTCTGCAAAGTCCGGGGAGAGAAGAAGAACAAGTGAAATGACGTGAGCAGGTGCGGAAGTAGGCCAGAATGTTTTGTCTTCCTTAAACCACAGTGCTCAGAGAAAGCTGTCTCTCATTTAGGAGGCAGAGGCCAGGCCTCCTCCGTGGCTGGGGTCTGCTGGGCACTAGTGCTGCGTCACCCTAACTCCATCCTGCATGTGCAGTAGCTGATCTCCTATGTAACGCTTTGCCTTTTAAAAAAATGCCTCCAGCCCTATTTATCACAAAGGTCAATGTGTTTCCTATTGATTGAGGCTCTCGGTCTCAAGGAGAGACTGACATCGCACGGTTGGGTTCAGGAGGTTGACAGCAATCACATCCACCACTCAAAATTCTAGTCACAAAGCTGACAATTAATTTGATAAGTTGGCCGAGAAATTAAATGCTCTTCCATTGCAGAGATAACTAGCCGATTTGCATCCGTAGGACTGAGCCACGTGGAGTAGTGTATGAGACCCTTTTCCATTTCCTCCTAAGCTGTAGATAAGTAGGTCGTGGGCTGGTCTTGTGAGTGAGCTCCCAGGGAGAGCTGTGAAGGTTTCATATCTCTGTCTTGCTTCAGGGATTCCCATTTGAGCAATGTGAGCCTTTCTATTTCCTCTGGAGCATGGAAAAATCATCCCATGCTCTTATTTCCAGGTCAGCTTGAATGGCACAAGATTCAGTGGGGAAGAGCAGCTGTCTTGGAGACAGACAGTCCTGGGTTTGAATCCAGCCTCCCAAAGTCACGTGACTAGTGAATGGCAGAACCAGGGTTAGAACCAATAGCCTGGCTCCCAGGACAAGGTAGAACTAGTAGTAGTTACTGCTCCCAGCCTGCACTGAATGTTTCACATGCATTCTCTCTGACCTCCTCACCTCCTGCAAAGCGAATGGTTTGGGCTCCAGTTTAATACAAGGAAACCAAGGCCCAGAAGGAGATAAAGTATGCTGACCAACATAACCCAGGTAGGCAGTGTGGAGAGCCAGGGTTTGCGTTGGGTTCTTCACTGTTCTATAGTTTCCCTGCCTCTTTAAATGCACCAATCCCATTCCCTGCCTGCACCATCCACATGCGATGGTACAGCGGAGGTACAGCAGATGAACCTGAACTTCAAGATTAGAAATGGAGGGATACTGATATCTTCCAACATGTAGAAGATGACCAAGTGGCAAGCTGCTAGGAAATGCAGTGTTCGGAATCATACGCTCTCAACACAGTTTGTAACGGGATGTTTCATAAGTCTGTGTTTAACCGTTTGGATATTTATTTGTGGATTATTGGATCAGTGTCTATTTCCCCTTCAGACAGTAAGCCCCTTGAGGACGGAGCACATAACGGTTCTGCTTACAGAGCATCCTGTGGCTAGGCATGGTGCTGGCACTTCAGTGGGCATCCAACACGCATGTGCTGGATGAATGGCGCCTGGGCCCACCACCTCCTCTGACTGTGTGAACGTGGGCGATATAAATGTATGATCCCAAGGAAACTGCACAAGGAGCCATGAGGCAGGAATCATTATCTATGTTTCGTAGACAGAGAAACTGAGGCACTGTGTATTAAGTAACTCACCCGAGTGCACAGGAGCCAGGCCGTGATCCAGGCCCGTCTGGTGCCAGAGCACAGAAGGTTTGGGCTGAAGGCTCCCCAGTCGCCCTGCCAGGACAGAGTGTCTCCCGGACATGCCTCTGCCACCTGCTCCCCACGACTAACTCAGACATGTGCTGTGCTTGTTTGCAGACTCCGGAGGCAGCAGGGGCAGGGCGGCCCGCTCGCGGACACAGAAGGCCGAGCGGGCGGCCAGGCCCAGGGCAAGCTCCAGGATGGGCACAACAACAACATCCTTGGCCACACCTGCTCCCGAGGCTGCAGCAGCTAAGCCCCTACGTGCGGCGGCCCAGCGGACTGCACACGGCCCTGCCCTGCCTGCCCAGAGCTCCTCTCTGTGCCCAACTGTCCCTGTGTCACCCCTGAAAACATCAGCTCCAGAAAGAGCCTTGGACTCAGAGCTGGGAAGCCTGGGTTCTGGTCCCAGCTCCCTGACTGATTCAATGTGTGACCTCAGACAAACCCCGCCCTCCCTGTGCCTCAGTTTTCTGCATCTGCCAAAGGGGTTAAACATCTCTGCCCCACCTCAAATCACAAGAGGATTGTGAGAATCCAATTAGGTAGCAGACATGCAAAACCTTTGATATTTATAACATTATTTATACATGCAGAATACAACCTTAATGTTTGAAGTGCATTCCCATCCTCCAAAGCAATTAGACCATCATGATTTTGCAGTTTGGGTCGTCCTTGATTGTTAGAGGGTACTTTTGGAAACTGCAGCCCCAAGGGTGAAATACATGTCTGATATGTTTGCCCCTCCTGTGAGAATACCACCTGGAGAAATCCTGGAGCAAAACCTGAAGTGTCTCGATTTGCATTCTCTACTAGACTACAGTCTTTCTGGGCTCCTTAGGCTGTGCAGTGTGCAGACCAGCCTGGTCCCTAAGGGCTCAGTGCTGGGGGCTCACTCCTCCCCTTGTTCCCAGAAGACTGTCCCCACCCCCACCCACCTCCAGTGGTTCAGACGGACACACAGGGCCCGTTCAGATGGGACACTGATCGTCGGTGACTCCTACAGAGTGTCGTCAGAGCTCCCCCAAAGCCCCTCGCCGCAGCAGAGCCCTCCCCGTGGACCAGCCTGCCAGGGTTTCTCTCGGGAAGGCGAAGCCAGCTTGCTAGTGTCACCTTACAGAGGGTGCCCAACCAGCATTGATGGGGTGTCTCCTTATTAGAAATTAGGAAGCATGGGTGCTTAGAAAGTTTGTTCCAGGAGGAAACTGGACTCACAGAAAAAGCAAACAAACTAGTCTCTGATGTGTTCAGGGAGCAGCTTGCCTTTGCGCTGGGGGACCTGCGGCACAGCGGGCGAGCTGAAATGCTGGAAGCCGCTTGCGTTCAGAGCCCAGCCCTGCCGGGCACCAGTCAGAAGACCTCAGCAAGGCACACGTCCCTGCGAGTGACACTTTCCTCAACTTTTGTTTTCAGATGGGAATAGTAAAACCAACCTTGCAGGGCTGTTTAGGGTTAGGTAAGATCCTGCATGCAGCGCACCCGGTGCGCTGGGCGCTCTTCAGATGGCAGCCTGCTTTGTCTGCAGTACCGTCCTCAGGATTTGGCGATACGTTGTTATTTCTGTCACTTGGCAGGTCCCTTTTCTGTGGCAACAAACTCACATTTGGGATTCTTTTAACTTTTCTTCCTGGAGTCTTTGATGTCTGTGTATCCTGTTGAAGTTCAATTGTGTTTTTATTTTTTCATCCAACTACCATTTTTCACCTTTTACTTGATAAATCATCAATCCTTGGGCTGTCAGTGTCATCCGTTGTTTCTTAAAAGACATTTTAATGTATAATGAGGTGTGATATTTTTATTTTAAAAATAAAATAGTCATTGTTTTCCTCCTTTAAACTGAGGCTATTTCTAGATTGTGTTACCGCCGAAGTCCACGGCGTGGCACACTTTCTAGTCTTCAGCCTCCCAGCAGCACCGTCTCGTGCCGCCTCCAGGAAGCGCGGGCCGCTCTCTCCTCACTGTGACCTGGCGGCTCCTGAGATGTCTCACTGGGCCGAGTTCATGGATTAGGGGCAGGAGCTGCAAACAGCCCCAGAAACACGGGATATTTGGGCTCTGTTCAAGTCGGCGTTCCTTGTTCAGAATAAACTGTTCCTTGGACACTAATTCTTACGACTTTTCTTAATTCAGGGTTGGGTGGGATGGCCACGCTCCTCCTGGAGTGAAGAGGCCCACGTGTCATCAGAAACACAGAGCTTGGAGAGCTGGCGTGGACGCCGGGTCAGCAATGGGGCCGCCCTGCCCACAGATGCAATCAAACTCAGCTGGGCAATTCAAGGCTCTGCCCAACCGGATCACGCTTTACATTATTATTATCTTCATATACTTACAAGGGGACAATCCAGTCACTAGGGAAAAATACAGAAAATTATCTACCTAGAGAAAATTTTTAATCTTTAAAATTTCCTCAAATTACTGCTTAAACACACACACGCACATGAACCAGTGTTTTCTTTTTTATACAGACTTCTTGATTTTCCACAGCCCTGCCTTCACCTATCCTATTGGAAATGCTTTTGAATTCCCACCTAAACAGGCTAAAGCACCCATTTCTCCAAGGCCAATCCCTCCTGGTCCATGATGTCTCCCGGGACCCATGGCAGCCCCACCCCGAGCCAGATATAATCTCCTCCACGGACTCGCGCACACATTCGCTGCAACTCTGATTGCTGTCAAAGACACCACGGCATTCCTTTGGCCCATGTGCCACCGTCCTTGCTCTCGGGCTCCCACAGAGGCCAGGTCCTGCTCATATCTGTCCCCTCACCCCATCCTCCCGTGCCCAGCTCACAGGGGCAATAAACAATTTTTGATCAAATGAAACAAAGATGAGCCGGACACAAACTCCCTGCATAGGCACAGCTTCCTTCTGGCACCCTCCTGTCTCCTTTCTGACTCTACTGACACTCCCCAGGGCTTTTGTCTCTCCGGTCCCAGTGCTTTCGCAGGGGCTGTCCCCAGTGGGGTGCCCCATCCCCACCACCCCCTTCAGAGCCATGTCTTATGAATGTCAAGTTCCAAAGGAGTTGTCCCTTCCTGCTCCCCCAAAGCCCCACTCCCAGTCCAGCACTGGTGAAAAATAATCTAATTAAAGAAATAGATGCCCAAGCAAGAATTTGTGTTAGGATTTGCCCGATGATTTGAAATTCGGGCACAGCAGAACATGCTGGCAATACCAGGCCAGGGCCGCATTGCGAGTAGCAAGGATCTAGAACCTCTGCCCGTGGCCAAGGCGGCCACGTCTATTGGTTGCTGTATCATCTACAGGTGTTTTCTCACTACACGTGCAGTGTTGAGACCTGTTGCCCACAAAGCTGAAAATATTTCCCATCTGTCCCTTTAGAGAAATGTTGAGACCCCTGACCTAGAAGACACATCTGGGACACTAGTTGGGCAGATTGCAAGTGCACGTTGGCCTTGCTCACCGGCAAAAGCCAGTGAGTTTCAGAGGTTGGCAATTCAGCCTTGTGGGTTTTCACGAGGAAAATTGGCAGAGGAATCTAGGGTCCGTTGGCCCTCACCAGGTCTCTAAACTGTGGAGCCTTGTCAGCAGCCTTTCCCAGGTGGTGTTGCTGAAACTCGCTCTCTTCTCCCTTCTTCCACCCCGTGCCGGCAGGTCCTCCCAGCAGCACTCCGTGCGGGGTCTGCATCGCCCCCTTTGATTCCACAGCTCTTGCCGCACTCTGGGGTCCACAGCCATGGACCCCACCGCTGCCCTGGAGCTGCCTGCAGGCAGCTTCTCCCTGGATGCAGACACTGCAGGCACTCCCACCTCGGCCCCAGCAAGGGCCGCATTTAGCAAACACCTACCAGTTTGAAGATTCGTTCCATACATTGTGCCTCTTCTGTGGCTGCACTTGCTGTCTGTCCCATTTCCTCTTCCAACCTCGAATATGAAATCATGATGTGGCCTCTCCCGTGTTTGATTGCTAACTGTCACAAAGAACAAGTAGCTGCTTCTTCCCGGGGGCTCACAGACAGACATAATTAATGGAATTTCCTCTAAATGTCTCTGCACTTCATGGCTACCGGCTCAGTACATGCTCACTCTCTGATCCTTCCGACTCTGCAGAGGCAGTGACAAGTTGACAGGGGAGCCTTTCCCAGGCACAGAAATTGCCATCCTTGCATCGTCCCAATTCTAAGAATCTACTTGTACAGCCACCTTCTGTGCTTACTTCAATGGCATTTTAAATAGGAATTCGTTTCACACATTTTTATGGTCTGAATATTTGTGTCCCCCTAAAATTCATGTATTGACATTCTAACCCCCGGGATGATACTGTTGGGAAACAGAGCCTCTGGGAGGTGATTGGGTCATAACAGAATTAATGCCCTTATCAGAGACCCCAGAGAACTTCCTTGTCCCTTTCACCATGTGCGGATACGGCAAGAAGGACGTCTGTGAACAGGACCAGGAAGCAAACTCAAGGGTGCCCAGCATAGCAGCCTGACCCATGGGTAAGAGTGACCCCATCAGTGCTCCAGTTCTGGCCAATCAAAAGAGTAATTCCTCTTTCATTGTGGGAGAAATGGGTAAGGGTTGATGCAGACAGGCCTGGCAGAGGAAAATGTGCTGAAATGCTCTCTTCTGTTAATTACTAAGTGGTCAGGGAGTCCTACTCTCTCAGAGAGACCAAAGTCAAATAAGCCCAGGATTTATTCACTCCCCTGTAGACATCTTCCATAGAATTTCCCCACCCCCACTAATGTATCACTCTTCAAGGTCATGACAAGAATGTAATGGTGGTGTACAGAGGTGTCTGTCCCTCTGGGAGAATTAACCCCGTACCTTGGAGGGCTCTGGGTGCTGCCAAGGTCTTTGCACTGGCCCATCACTGCATAATAGCAGGGATGTGGGGAGGGTGTCACCTCCGTCAAGACCAGCAGGTGGGAAGGGTCGGCCATGCAAAGAGATGATGGATGATGATGCATCCTAGGCAAAGAAGACCAAATGAGCAGAGGCCTGAGTGAGGAATCGCCCTGGGTCCTTCCAAGAGCAGCCCCCATGGTGGGTGGAGCTTGATGGGTGGAGTGAGAAGTGCAGATGAGGCTGCAGAGCCCAGCAGGACCAGATCACAGAAATCCCAGGACACTGCAGGGACGAGTTTACATCTGTGTGGTGAGGTGCTCTTGAACTGCTGTGGGCAGGAGAGTGGCCACTGTGCAAGGAATAGACAGTGGGTGGCACAGGGACAAGGGGGAAGTTGGGAGGATACCAGGTGGATGGATCATGCAGTGGCCCAGGAGACAGATGATGGGGTTTGTCTCAGGGTGGTAACCCTGGAGGTGTAGAAAAGTAGATGAATTACGATATTTCTGGAGGACTTATAGGAGGATTGGACTGGAGGCAGGACGTTAGAGTCAGAATGACCCGGCTGTGTTACCTTGGGCAAGTCACTTGAAATCTCTGAGCCCCAGTCATAATACCTTACAGAACCATCATGCAGATTAAATAAAATCATATATTTCAAGCCCCTATCAACTGGCTTGCGATATACGCCCAGTGAAAATATCCTCTCCCTCCTCCCTCCCCCTTGGAGAGCAGTAACGTCTCCAGATGCGTTGCATTGAGCTTTTCTCCCGTCTGCTTCTCATCCTAGTGACAGGACGTCCCCCGCCCAACCCATACCCTGCCCTGTAAGGGCCTGATTGCACCCCAAAGCTGCTGGCTCACTTGTGCGAGCCCGGATAACAGAAAATGGGCCCAGGGGAGGAGTAATCGGCTCCTGGAAACTGCTAGCTTGGGACCCAAAGGTAGAGCTATCGGCTAAACGCATATTTCTGCTTCTGAGAATCGCTTGCTTGCAGCTGGACGCATAGGTATGGGGCCAGATAAGGGAGAAAGCCCCCTTTGCCGCCGGCGGGCTACCAGTCCACCAATCATTTTAAAGACTAACACGCACAATCAGCTTGTACAGCGCGGGTGTTCAAGAGGGAGGGGGGATAAAAGGGCAGCCCCAGCTTTGGTCAGGGTCCTTGCCTGAAAGAGCGGCCACTGCGCTGGCACTCTAGGGCCTGGACCCTGGCTAGCCAGAAAATAAAGCTCCTCTTGAGTGATTGCATCCTTGGTGTCTTTGTTCGTCTGCCTGGCGGGGTGCAGGAAGCCGGTCCCTAACAGCCCCTATACACACACACACACACACACACACACACACACACACACACACACGTTAGCTCCCAGGTAAAAGCATTAGCCATGTGGAAAAGAGATCTTAGTAGGAGTCTGATAAAGTACTCTGAAGATGGTGCCTGTTGCCTGTTCGAAAGGAGATTGTTTGGCCTGGCGTATTTGCTAGCTTTCTGCCACAGGCAATGGGAAACCCAACGCCAGCTGCCTTCAAGGAGAGCAATGTTGACCCTCTTAACAATGAGTGGGGGAGGGAAATTCCTGGCACAGAATGGTCTGCAGGTTGACAGCCACGGGTCCCACGTTTGCCCACCGGCTGCGTGGCGTCCGTGGGGTGCTGGCAGTCTGCAGGCTGACGGCCCGCGTGCTGCTGGTGGCTGCCACGGCTGTGCACAGGCACAAGAGCGCTCCGGGCTCGCAGAAGGGAGCCAGCCTTCCTGTGGCTCTCTCAAAGAAGACAAGCTTTTCACAGAACGCCCCAGATTTTCCCTCATGACTCGTTGTCCAAAGCTGGGTCACATGCCCATCGGACAGCAGCTGTGCGCCTGGCATTGGGACCGCTGTGATTGGTTAGGCCAATAGTGATCCACTCTCTGAACAGGAGGCCCACGGTCTCTGTGGCAGGTGGGAGTGACAGATGCACGTAGCCAAAGTAGAACTTCTGTTAGAAGAGGAGGGAAACAGATTTTGGCTGAGCACACAGCCCTTAACAAAGGGACGCTAGGACTTCATTGGATTTGGGAGAAGATGTTACAGTTCCATGAGCAATAGTCTCCACACGGATTTTTCTGGCTCTTACTGACCAAAGAAGAAACAGAAGACAGCAAAGACAGGAACTGCGTGTTTTCTCACTGCATGCTTTGAAATCTCATTCTGAGAAAACAATCAGCTCACAGTCATCTGTGCTGCGTGGTGACCGTCACTGTAGGGCGGCTTGAGCAGGCTTAGGCAAAGGGGAACCGACATCTATTAAGAGCCAACCCGTGCCAGGCCCTGGGCAAGTCCTCTTCATGATTTGTCTCATTCGACCCTCAGATTTCTTCAAGGTCAATATCGTGAATCCCTTTCGCAAAGGAAGAAACTGGAACCCACAGAGGGATACATCCCCTCATGCCACTGGGTGGCTTTCTAGGCGTGATGAGTTCCAAAAGTGCCCTCCACTCTCCGATTCTAAAAAATAATCACCGGGAGAGGCAGACCGCCTGCTCCGCAGCCCCCGCCGGCTGGCGGGCGCACTCACTCGCCCAGCCTGCCCATGGGGAACAGCCGGGGCACAGCCCGTGGAAAAGCGTGGC